CCCCCCCCCCCACCCCTACCCTCTGTATCCAGCTCTTTCCTGGGCTTGGCCCTTCTTTAGCCAAATGGACCCTCCTCATTCCCAGCTCTGGGGCTCAGCTTCTGCTGCCCCGTCTCTTCTCCACTTTTGACAGTACCATCCCCAGCTATCCTTATTCACTTGGTCAGCCAAAATATTAACTGAGGCCCAATTACATGCCTCATACCATGCTAAACGGCTGGGGATTTCAAACACACAACACACACAAACAGGACAGGTTCTCTGTCTTTTTTCATGATGTTTTCCCAACAAAGTGCATTGATGTTGATTTCCCCCATCTTTGAACCTGTCCTGTGTTCTCCACTAAGCTGCTCATGAACTATATACTCTTGGAGGGCAGGGATGGTGTCTACCTTTTGCTCCCACTTTCTTAGAACTGAACGTGAATTCATTGGCCCCAATGACTACTGCAGAGCTCTCCAGGTGTGTGAGGAGCAAGAACAGGTGACCTCATCATATTTAGCAAGATCACAATCACTGATATTTACATATGTTTCAATGAGCCAAGAACCACGCTATGTGATTGACATACATCTTCTCTTAATCTTCCCAGGAGAGTTTTCTTCCTGACTGATCTCTATAAGTCTATGTGGTTCCAGGTCCCAAAATCAGAAGGAGGGAGAGGCCATGAGGTGGTGGGGTGACTGGCAGGTAGGGCTGTGCAGTGGCAGAGACTAAGGGGATCCCCTTCCAGGTGTGACCAAACTAGGAACAAAGAGGTGGGAGAGTAGGAAAAATGGTGGGTCAAATCTTACCATGATATGAACGCCATGTCATTGTATGTGAAACTGTGACCTAAGGAATTGGGAAACCAGGGACAATGGTTTCAGACCCTTCAAAGAAATCTCTCCAGATATACACAAGCAGGACATTTTAGAGTCAGGTGATTATTTTTCTTCTTGTTATTTTGAAAGCATTATTGTATTCTTTCCATTACTAATTGAGCATCTATTTTGTATAAAACATATCTAACATGTTATTTTAAATTATTATCACAACAAACCTACAAGGAAAGTAGTATCATTCCCACTTTATAGATTAGGAAACTAGAGGTTCAGCAACTTGCTTAAGGCATAGTCAGAGTGGTCTTTTCACTAGAATCTGCCATTAATATCTTTTCAAAATAGCTTTATTGAGGAATAGTTGACATACAATAGTTGACATACAGGGTGGGGCAAAAGTAGGCTTACAATTGTTCATATGGAAAAAGACATGCAGGTTATGATTATTACAATAGCTTTATTAACTCTGTGTTTTTTGTACTCACAACTGTAAACCTACTTTTGTCCCACCCTGTATTTAAAGTAGATAATTTAATAGGTTCTGACATAGGTTTACACCCATGAAACCATCACTACAGTGAAGAGAGGGACATTCATCATCCCTGAAAGTTTTCCTCAAGCTTCTTTGTAATCTTTCCTTTCGCCACCCTATGTCCAGGTAACCACGGATCTGCTTTCTGTCACTATACATTAGTTCGCATTTCCTTGAATTTTATATAAATGGAGTCATACAGTCTGCACTTTTTTTGTCTGGCTTCTTTCACTCAGCTTAATTAGTTGGGAATCATCCATATTTTTGCATGAATTGATGAGTTTTGCATTTTTATTGCTGAGCTGTACTCCACTGGATGAATAAACTACAGTCTGTTTATCCATTTACCTGCTAATGGACGTGTGGGGTTTCCAATATGGGGCTATTACAAATGAAGTTGCTTGACTGTGTGGACATACACTTTCTTTTCTTTGTGGAAATACCTAGGAGTAGAATAGCTGGATTATATGGTAGGTATATGTTCAACTTTTCAAGAAACAACCAAAGTGTTTTCCAAAGTGGTTGTCCCGTTCCTTCTACATTCCCACCAGCAGCGCATGAGAGTCCCAGTTTCTCCAAATCCTCGTCAGCACCTGGGACAGGCAGTCTTTTCCACTTTATTCTTATGTGGTATCTCCTTGTAGCTTCAATTTGTATTTCCCTAGTGACTAATGATGTTGAGCATCTTTTCATGCACTTATTTGCCACCTGAGCATCTTATGGGTTAAGTGTCTATTCAAATCTTTTGCCCATTCTAAAACCTGGGTTGTTTGTTTTCTTATTACTGAGTTTTGAGAGTTCTTTATATATTCTGAGTACAAGTCCTATATCAGATTTGCCAATATTTTCTCCCAATCTATGGCTTGTCTTTTCATTTTCTTCACAGTGTATTTTGAAGAGTAGAGGTTTTGATGAAGTTCAAATGATCAATTTGTTATTTTATGGATTGTGCTTTTGGTGTTATATCTAAGATATCTTTACCTTACCCAAGATCTCTAAGGTTTTCTTCTAGAAGTTTGATAGTTGTATGTTTACTTCTATAAGTTTTTATATTAGGTTTTAGGCTTAATTTATAATCCATTTTGAGTTAATTTTGTATACATGCAAAGTATGAATCCAAGTCCATTTTTGCACATGGATATCCAATTGTTCCAGTACCACTCCTTGTAAACATTGTCCTTTCTCCACTGAATTGCCTTTGAGCCTTTGTTGAAAATCAGTTGATCATACATATGTGGTTCTATTTCTGGGCTCTATTCTGTTCCACTGATTTATCTATCTTTATAACAATATTGCACCACACTGTATTGATTACAATAGCTTTGCAATAAATCTTGAAGTCAGGTAGTGTGAGTCCTCCCACTTTGTTCATTTTCTAGGTCCTTTTCATGTGAATATTAGAACTTTGTCAATTTCTACAAAAAAAGCATACTCGGATCTTGATTGAGATTGCATCAAATATATAGATAATTTAGGGAAAACTGACAACAATATCAAGTCTTCTGACCTATCAACAAGGCATATCTCTACCTTTATTTAGGTCTTTAATTCATCTCAGAAATGTTTTATAGTTTTCAATGTGTAAGTCTTTCACATCTTTCATCAGATATATCTCCAAGCATTTCATTTTTTTTCAAGGCTATTGTAAATGGTATTTTTTTTATAATTTCAATTCATAATTGTTCATTGATGGTATATAAATTCAATTGATTTTTATAGATTGAAACTGTACCTTGCAACCTTATTGAAATTATTTATTAATCACTTTTGTAGACTCCACTGGATTTTTAATACATGAGATCTTGTTGCCTCTAAATAAACAGTTTACGTCTTCCTTTTCAATGTGAT